AATGAAGTTTGGTAATGCGCTATGTAGGTCTGCTGCAGCACATTAGGTCATCTTCTCCAGGGACAAAATGTTGTCATATCTGCCAAGCTGAAGACTCAGGCCCCACAGTGCTGAGTTAAGCAAATCATGCAGGAAAGGACGAAAACAAAGCACAACATTCTTTACTTCATACAGCACACTGAGGTAAATGCTATTTTCTTAAAAACATCTTCACAGCTGCTTCCTTTGATTTTTGCCATTCAATAATCCTTACATTCTGTTACATTGTGTCACTGTTTGTTTTGTTGCATCATGACATCATTCTCTACGGAGATGAAAGCTGCAAGCTTATAAAATATTAAATAATGAAGTGATCATTCTGTACACACAATAAATCCGTGCAGTTTAGCCACAATGAATGTTAATATCTGTTAACATGGCAATCCTGATCTCCATTTTGAACATTTATTGTGTTTGACTGCAAAATCGCATAACGTCAGTGCAAACAGCACAGTAAATGAAATGCCCTCATGTGTAAAACTACCTCATTTTCATTTATTTTATTGCTCTTAGTGCTTACTCCTCTGCTTTGAAGTTTTATGGGGTTGAAAATGGACAGTATGTAAAAAACACAATACTCTATCATGCATTTTCACAAATTTGTCCGACGTGCAAATATTAAGTACATTTAAAAAAAATGCTGACACTGTCTGTGTCAGTATGGGTTCTCAGTGTTAATTGGGTTTACTCTTTTGAATCAGCTGGCTCCAGGAGTGTGCAGGGGAGGGAACTCTTTATCGTTCAGACAGACCAGCTGACGCGACTTTTGACCTGTGATATATTTACTCTTCCCATTGTTAGGATTGATAAAGTACACTCGGCTTGTGTTAAAGAGGGCAGGACCAGGCTCTCAATCCAATGCTTCCTTTTCCCTGTCAAAAGGTCATATTGTGCTCTTTATGCAAGACTCCAGAGAACTCTGCTTATTTTTATGACATGTTCCTGGCGTCTCCTTCTCCACATTTCCCAACCTCCTTGACTCCAGTCATAACTGTGCCAGCCTGAGAAAGACAAGTATCCTGTTTCGCGCCAGACTCACAATGAATGCCAAGTAACAAGCATTCCACAAGATTATTGCAACAATGGCACATTTTTGTGGGGTCTCTAGTGGCCATATAATATGTCACTACAGAAGTTGGTATTTTGGAAATTCTTTTGTCTGACTTGCTTGTTTTCTACCAAGACTGCAATGAAGGTTCAACGGCAAACCAGAAAAAGAGAAAACAGATTGCATGATAATGTGTGTGTTGTGTTTTGTTTTACTCAGATAAAGGCTAAAATGATTTCCTATTTATGTTATCTAAAAATCCTCAGTGATTTAGCAATTATCATTCCTTTCCAGCTATGAAAAGAAAAAAATCCTCAGCGATTTAGCAATTATCATTCCTTTGAAAAGTAGAAAATGTTGAAAACGGATATTTATAGTTATCGTTTTTCCTGGAAAGCCTTTCATTTTTTTAAAATTCCCAAACTTATCTTAGTTTTACATCTATATCTATCTATAAATTACAGAAACGTCTGTCTGTATGTCCATGTGTCTGTCTGTCTGTCGCTGTCCGGTAAAAGAAGCACACATTGAAGTTGTGATTTAAAAATAAACATTCTGACTTTAGAGAGGGTTGTGGTTTGAAAATTTGAAGTAAAAAAAAAAGCGATTCTTTTCGAGAAATGTAGCGATTCTTTTCAAGGTTGTTATTTTACATTTATTACAATGTAATTATATGTTTAATACAATGTAATTATACATTGTTTTAGTGTAATTATACATTTATTAGTGTTATTCTACATTTGTGATTATTTTGTTACATTATTCTTTTTGAAAAAATAGCGATTATTTTTTAAAAGTAGTGATACTTTTTTTAAAAGTAGTGCACAAAGTAATACATTTGTTACAATGTTATTATCCATTTATTACAATGTAATTATACATTATCGCTACTGTGTAATAGTAGCCTTTTCTATTCACCAACTAAAGACAAAAGACATTAGCTGCCTTTCATTGTCTCTATTATAGGCCTAATCTACACAATGACAACAAAGTTGACCCTAATGTAAATCTAATCTAATCTAAACTCCTGCTACCTGTAGTACACAGATACCCAAATACATGTCACTTAGTATCACCATTATAAATTGTTTTGCACACGGAGTGGCCACTCCTCCTCCACACTGCAGACTGGGTGGCCCCTCCCCCCTAACGCTGCACACTGAGTGGCCACTCCCCCTCCATGCTGCACACTGAGTGGTCACTCCCCCTCTCACACTGCACACTGGGTGGCCACTCCCCCTCTCACACTGCACACTGAGTGGCCACTCCCCCTCCACGCTGCACACTGAGTGGCCACTCCCCCTCACACTGCACACATGAGTGGCTACTCCCCCTCTCACACTGCACACATGAGTGGCCACTCCCCCTCCACACTGCACACTGAGTGGCCACTCCCCCTCCACACTGATTGGTCACTTCCCCTCTCACACTTCACACTGAGTGTCCACTCCCCAAAATAAACTTTCTGACATTAAGCCCCGTTCACACTACATGCGACCAAGCGACATGATACCATTCATTTTCAATGGTGAGCAGGCGACTTCCAGCGAAACGCGTGGTCGCGACCAGAGGGGCGTGTCCAGCGACGTAACAAAGTTGAGAAATTGTTAACTTTATGCAAATGAAGAGCAACAACCAATAGGAGTGAAGTCAGTGGAGCGCGTCACTCTTCAGTGCTGAGTCTGACCGAGGCAAGTTGAACGAGAAGCTCATTTTAGCAGTTAGAAACTGTCCTATAATGGATGATATATCTCCGTGTACATACAGTGGTGTTCACCATACGGACTCCATGACTGAATGGTTTTGGGAACCCAGATAGACCGGTATTTGCACGTTTGCTGCAGTTAAATAGCCGTGATGGCAAAGAGCACTCACTGTTTCTCGTTCATCTTTAAGATTACGCATTTTATGTACTGATTCCATTTATATTTAGACTTTTCCTTCCAAAATTTTTGTTTGTAGCGGCAATAAAACGCATTTGTTGTCTAACATAGAGCAACATCCTTGAATGTCACTCACAAGCATTACTAGGCAACCAGTAGTGGGGAACGCTCTCCAGCGCAGCCACTGGCGACCTGCAGCGACAAAGTCGCGTGCAGTGTGAATGGGGCTTTAAAGGGTTGTGGTTTAAAAATATCTGAATATGATATTTTATTCACAGCCATCTTTTGTAGTAGCCTATTCACAAATTGTTTGTAAAAGTAGGGTTTTGTTAGAGTTACCTGTGTTCCCTGAATCATCGTGCTTATTCGTTTGTGGATGTTAACTGAATCTGTAATTCAGCTACACAGTTTACTTCTGAATATTATATTTTATTCTGGTGCTATTAACGTTATAGTTTTCTCTGAGTTCAGGCTCCTGTGATAGTAGCCTTAGATATAGCCTACAACAACTCAAACATACCAAACCAACAATTAGTAATAACAGATTTTGCAAAGGCATTGCACTAGTAGTGAAAAAGACACAAAGATGAGTTTTACTGGATAGATGGCTATGCTATGGACAATGACATAATATTTTAATCTAATAACAATGACATCAGTCTTTTAAACAATCATGTGAATATTACCTAATCCATGGCATAGTTATGAAAGAATTTGTTATAAAGGTTAATATATTTAATGACACCTAATTAGAACACCATTGTGATGACACTATAATTATTCAGAATTCTAAGTGAGTTTTTGTCACGACAATATAGTACAGTAATTTACAGTGTTCGCAACAAGAACACTATGTACCAAATGGTCATTTAACAACACACTGACCCTGTAAAAAGTATTTTCAAATTTACAATATCCATCTCCAATTGCGTTCAAATAAACACAAAATACAATGCAACCAAATTAATCCATGTTTTGTTCTCTAGTAGATACAGGCCGAGTATATTAATTTAATACAAACACTATACTATTCCAGTTTATTCTTATATATATATATATATATATATATATATATATAAACTTGCTATGTGTATTGTTGGACTAGTCACACTGGCATATTTTGCCCTTTTGTTGGTTTGACTGCTTCTATTGTAAGTTACTTTGGATAAAAACGTCTGCTAAATGATTAAATGTAAATCGAGTTAAAAAACAACATTTATTTGAAACAGATTTTTTGTAGAATTCTTTGCTCTCATTTGAATGCTGTCAGTTTAATATTCTTGCTGAATAAACAAAACAAAGGATTTAAAAACAGTCTTACTGACCATAAACATTTGAATGGTAGACCTAGTGTTTTTATGCTTGTTTTGTTTTTGTTAGTTTGTTTCAGGGGTTGAGGTCAAGTCATCTTGCACCGGGCACAATAATCACCACCAGATTTTAGGGTTTCCATCCAAAATCCCAGTTTAAACCACAAAATGTGCATCCCGTGGTAAAATCTAAAATCTAAATTAACTGATTTGATAGTATTTTATAGGTGCCCGGATTCACATACAGGGCTTAGATTAGGACAGATTAAGCTTCAATTTGGACATTTGAGTAGCCTACCTTTTATAAATGTGCCCTATAAACAACAACAACGTCAACAACAACAAAAACATTACTGGTGTGCATCTTGAGACAAAACGGCACTGATACAATTTGAGATTTGTCGGTCAGTGCAAGTGCTCAAACATGCATTTTAGTCTGGGACCAAGTTTAGCCTAAACCTTGTCTGTGAGACCACCGTGGGAATATGTCAGGTCAGGTAGAAAAAAAAAAAAACTCTGTAGGTTGCAATTACACAACTCTATGAGATAAACCTTGCGCACTTATGTCGTCAGCATTCTCATCCATAATTACTATCATCTCCAAAGCTAGTGGTATGCTGGCGAAATAGCAGTTGAAGGCGTTTCTCCAGGGAGGTAGCGCGGATGATGTCATCTCCGTAAGCGGGACATGAGCGGTCTCTCTATAAAGAGCAAGCCGTCACTACGAACTCCTCACTCTTCTCAGTCACACTCACAGCCATCCAAGCTGCACAGCTCGGTCGAGTTGGCGACTCCAGCGCTGCTAAACAACACAAAAGCCGCAAGATGTCGACGGACATGTACTCAGAATCTCGCCGGGTCTGCCCTTCTATCCACGGCAACAAGTTTGACACAGCAAGCCGCAAGCGGGCAGTGGCGAACATCTTCGAGAACGTCAACCAGGACGCGCTCATGAGACTCTTCCAGAAAACGGGAGACATGAAAGCCGAGGAGAGAGTGAGAAGCATCTTCTCCTTCGCGCAAGACCCCGAAGAGACGGCCAGAGCTCTGATGGCCCTCAAGCAGAGGAAGAAGGACAAGTTCCTCCGGATCGCGGGGATGCTGCGACACTTTCTGAAGCTGCGTTGAGCGTCTTCACGCGGTGACTCGCGGCTGCAGGGTCGTTCATTTCAGACCGCCGGTGTCATTTACAACCTGGCGATGACGGACACGTCCAGAGTGGACGAGAAAGGACCACGCGGACATGAAGGAAAGTCTCGTCAATGACGAGCCCACTGAGACCCGATATGAAGGACGGGACGTACAGTTTCTGGAGCTGTGGAGGAGCTCAGTCTGAAGGAGTCCCCTCGTGCATCATAGACGCGCGAAACTGTTTCTCGTGAACTATCCATTTTAAAAATGGACTTTTTCACGTACTACTGCACCTTATAGGTGTATTTGTTGGAGCACAAGAACTGTGATTAGAGACTGAAGTTATTGCCCGAAAACTGCTGAGAAATATTATGCCTTCCATGCCACTTTGATATTGTGATACGTGTTTTAACACTCAATTGCCACTTATTTATTTGTCACAATGTTATAATAACACCAGTTTATGCATTTTTCACAATATTATTTTTCATTATTTGTATAATAAATTATTAACTAAACTGTGACTCTTCTCTTTCTTGACTTTACATTTGGTTTTAAAATGACTAACATGGTCATTTTATTATAACATGTCTGGGATGGAGTTAGATGATTTACAGTCAGGTCTCTGTGCTGCTTAATTGTACATTGTTTTAGACACTTTCTATTTTAAAAAAATAAATTAATTAAATAAAAATAGGGGTCCTCCTAGAGTTGTTCCCAACTACGGCCTCATTAGATAAGGTCCCATCTACTCTACAAAATTAAGTTTGACACATTGATGTGTGAAACCAGAAAAACTGAGATTGCTGTAAAGCGTAACCCACAAACCCACAATTTTACAGTACAAAAGATAATATCAACAATACAACTTTTATTAGATCTCAGCAAGGGGAATTACACTTCCTTTTACTACTTTTTGTGAAATAAGGACGGACTGTCACACCTGTCACTCATCACTTGGTCTGGTTCATTTTCATGCAGGCTCGTCTCTTTGCTTTGCAGCTTACCAGACCAGCGTGAACCAGTTTCTGGTTGATTCAGCCGTTTGTTAGAGGTGTATTGCATTACCGTGGTGTGTAGATAAGAAGCTTTATCAAGGGCTCATCTCTTCAGATCTTTCTCTGTCATTCTTTTTGATAATTTGATACACTGTGAAAAAAAGTTGCTGCCTTAAAATTTTAAGTACAATCAACTTGGATGTTTAAGTCTATTAAACTTAAATTACATTAAACTGACTTTTAAAAATGAAATGAATATCGTATAACTTGAAAATTGAAAATTGCTTAACTTATTTTGGTGAGTTAAAGCAATGTAAAAACATGTTGTCATAATTTATTGATCATTAATTTTTTTACACTGTAGCGATAAGTAGTTTGGCACATGCTTGTCAGACTTTTGGCATGGTTTAGGATTAGTGCTGCAAGAGGGGAAGATCTGTGGATGCCTGTTAATCTTAATACTCTGATCAGTCACCGTATACTGGCTCAAACCAGTTCTGATGGGCTGGGAATGCGTCATCTGACACCTTGCGGTCGTGTGTAGACGACAGAGAGCTCAACCCCCTTTACCTTTGCTTTATCGCTGCCAAAAGGGAGTTTCCTATGTAAATATTCCCCTGGCAAACCCCCCCCCCCCCCCCACACACACACATAGTGTGAGCTATTATTAAAACCTTTTGAACTAGAGCAGTGTGGGAGTTTAATAAAATAATGACATTCAACATGACATTGTTAGAACGCAGATGCAATGTGCTTAATGTTTGAGTTATTTGATCTCAGCTTGCAGCATCCAACTTTCCGTTTAAGCAAACAACTATTTTTCTTTCTTCAATTTGTCTGTCAGCATTGATTTCCTTGTTTTTTTCCTTTTAAGGTAACATGATTGTTTATGTCTACTACTGCTAAATATTTAAGCCAATTGTCCTGTCTGTCTTGTGTGCTGTATGATATGCTTGACACAAGATTGTCCTCTCTCTCCCACCCATTTCCTGTCTTTCAGTGAGTTCACAACAGGGAACTTTGAAGTGAATAGACTGCATAAGCAATATGTGTATGTGTGTGTTTCTATAGTGACAGAAGGAGCAAGGTAGAACTGACAGCAAAGCTGCTGTTTACACAAGGCTCAGGCCTCTCCGGTACAAACTGGTTTGAGACTGACAAGTGATAAAGGAACCAAAACTGCTTGTGGTGTTGCATCAGACAAGTGAAAAGAAAAAGTTTAATTTAGGTGAACAAGAAAAAGTGGCATTTTGTGGACTTAAAGTAAAGTCCACTGTTCTGTTCTGAGTTCAAGCATTATAAACAACTATAGTTTTTATTTTTGCATTATTTCGATCTATTATTAGGCCGAAGAAGAGGCTGACCTGACCAGGAAGGTGCCTAATATAATTTCAGCATATCAGCGCACAGGTGGGTTTACTACTGAGGGAAAGAAAAGATTATCACATGGGGATTTCTTACTGTATCTTACTGTGTATTTTATCTCAAACAGCTATCCCTTCACTGCAAACAAGCTAACATTGGCTAAATCCTCGATTGCAGTATTTACATCTATGAATCTCAGCATTTTTGGAGAGATTAAAGGATATGTAAGTGTTCAAATTGAATCTGGCATAATTTAGTTTCAAGTCACATCAAATTCTTAAGTTTATGTTTTTAGCCTAATGTTTTTTAAAGGTGCAGTGTGTAGATTTTAGTGACATCTAGCGGTTTGGTTGTGAGTTGCACTAAGGGCTCAACCCACTGCTCAGTCCTGTAACGCTAACTTACTGTTTTACGGTCAATAGTACCAATCAGCTGATTTTCAAAGCCACAACACAGCGAGGGAGAAGAACTAAGTTACATGAAACAATCCAACTAAATATTTTACACCAATACATGGGAAAAGTCACTACTCTTTCAAGGCATAAACGAAACGCGCTCTGAAGCGCTGTTTGTTCGCTGTCGGGTACGGTAGAAACATGACGATCGACCTTCATAGAAGGGGGTGCCCGCGGTTATGTATAAATGTCTCAGTAATAAAAACACAAAGTTTCATTGACTAAGGTCTTTATACACCACTGAACACATACAGTAGTTATGGATCTTAAGTTGCATTTCTGTCAATAGATCCTCAGAAATATTACACACTGCACCTTAAACAATAACCAATATCAATAAACAAAATTGTATCTTTAATTTATTAACAGCTGTTTTTTGGCCGTTATTTATAAAAAAAATGTTTATTAATAGTCACCTATTTTTTTTTTTTTAAATTAGTCATAAATCCTCAGTAAGTCCAGGTGTAGTGAAGGTCGCAGAGTGTCCACCTTTTTACTGAGGTGACTGTTTTAGATCCAGTGTTAAAATAGTGACGTCAAAGTGGTTGAGTTTGTAATTAGTCTGCCCATTTTCAGTAGTTTAACCCATTCAGGGAGTACCTTTAGGCTGAGAATCTGTGTGTAATATTCAAAATCATTCTTAAGTTGGCATGTCATTGGCTATTTTTGTTTTATATAAAGCTGTGAACATTATAAAAGTGATTCAATTTAATGTCGTCTGAAACAAATGTGGTTGTCACAAAAGCAGAACCAGACAGCTTCACCCAGATGCTTTTGTACACATTTTTCCTCAGCTGAGTAAGAACTCTAGTTCTGTGATGTCACCAGCCTGCTGAGAGACAGCTTCTCTACACACGAATGCTCATGTAATGCTCATTGTGACCAGGTTCCTCAATTGGCATCAAATAACCTATAATGAAAGTGGTGATAGGGAAACATTCACCACACAACAGCCGTCCAACAGACGTCAAGCAGTATGAGAAAAGGTTGTTTTACAGGAAAGAAGGGGTTAGAAGTGGGGCAGGCATTAAGTGGTATGTCCAGACTGCTTTCCGCTAGGCATGCGGACACGATTTTCTGTTTCCTAAAAGCACATACTTTAACTGTAAGTCACTTCAAGCCTAGATGGCACTGAGTGAGAGATGGCCCACAATGTTGATGAAAAGCCCATTGTTACCAATGGATGAATCAATTCTTTGTGTTTGTTTGTATGTGTATGTCTACATTTGTGCGTATATGTGGTACGTCAGTGCAGTATATTATCTGACCCCTACAGCCCTGACGTCACTTGGGAACAGATCTGGTGACATGTTGACGCAAAATCCACATCCCAAGCAAAATATTTGGGACATTTCAGTCATATTTCTGCAATTTCCAGTACACTTACTGTATATCCATCAAAAGTGATGATTTGATGATTTTTTGCTGTCAACAAATGAAAATGTAACAGAAAATAAGAAATAAAAAACAAGTGTGCAAGACCATGTTTTTGAGAATGAAGGAAACGGTTTAAGCCAATCTAAAATCCCATGCATATTCTGTTCAAATGTTCAGGGTCATACAATTAATTGTCTTATATACTGTAAAATCTAACATTGTTCTTACTAAGAATTTTTTTGTTAACTTTACTTAATGTCCAATAATTTGTTGAACTTACTTAAAATTTGTTAGTAATCTGTACTGTTTGCATGTTATGCCTTCGTTACTCAGAAAAACCTTGTAAACATTACTTGACTGGTTTGAGTACCATTTTGCCCCCCCCCCCCCCCACACACTTCCTCAGATCACAGACAGAATTAAGTTGAAAAAATTAAGTTTTAAGTTATGCTTACTTAATGAAATTAAGGCAACGAGTTTGCATAATAAAATTAAGTAAACTGAATTAATTGGTGTTTTACAGAATTGTGTTGGTGTTGGATAGTGTTATTTTCAAAAATGAACTTTTTACACACTATTTAAGCTCTTTTATCTTAATTAATTTTGAGGAGACACAAAGCAAACCTTTGTCACACTCATACAAAAAGCCTCTGACAATAAGATCTTGAGAGAGAACATTTTATTAAAGAATCACTGTCTTCTATTATGACTTATTATGAAGTTTTTGGCGTTAAATCTGCAGGCTGTGGCATCAAAATGTATTCTTAACCTCAAATCCTCATAGCTCTTTTTCTTTCTATGGAGCAATATGAACTATAAAATGATTTCAAATAAAAAAGGACTGACAAAAATGGCAAACGATTTCTTTCCGATTTTGCTTAAGCACAAAATGTATGTGAACTTAATTACCTAACAATGTTCTAGGTAAATCTGCAGCTTGCAATAATTTACAGTACATTGACTGTCCCATATTGCACTTTAACCTTGTGTTTCTCCAGGACCTCGGATAGACTCATCAAATGAGTTCTCTCTGGAGGGGATCTCCTCTCTATTGTTCTCTCCCTGTCGTGTGTGTTCTGGACAGAGGACTGAAGCCTCTTCCTGTGTGGCTCTTCTGGCTGCCCCGGGCAGGGCGGCTGTCTCGGCCCGCAGACTCTCTGTCTCGTTGCTGTTCCACTGGCCGGCCTTGCCATTGTTCTATCCCTCCTCTCCTTTGTCCTGCTCCCCTCTCCAACTCTCTCCCCACTCCCCATGTCCTCCTTTTTCTCTGCAGGTGTTGAGAAGGAAGCCCTCTCAATACCACACAATGGCAGAACAGCCCAC